CCAGCTAGAGCAATGTAAATGCGATCTTAAGCCATTTTCAAGAAGCCTAAATTAGCATCGTTACGGGAAACGAAAGGATATTACTTTTTGAAATATTGCTGCATTACTTAAGATAAAAAGTACTAACCCTTAAAACCCCATGATATTGCCAAATGTTTTGTTTAACATGCAATTTAATATGATTACTGTTATTAAGCAGACTCAAAGTTGACTTACGGTTATGATATGAAAATCGTTCAACCGTTAAATTACCAATGTTTACCAAATTGAAGATATCTATAATTCTAAGATTAGTAAATTCTTTACTTTACATAATTATTTCCTCGTAAAGAAGGGTGTTGCGTTTCTTTCGCATTTTAGTAAATAAAGCATCATTAAAGGAACTTATTTCTCAAAGAGCTAGATTCACTTTATGGATAAAATGGTCCTGTACTCATTTCAATCATTTGACTATCACCCTCTTTCCCATTTCATATATTAAAATAAAGTAGAGATTTAGTACTTTTATTTCCTATAAAAAAAATTCTTTTTGAGAATCCAAATTTTGGAAAACAGACTCTGAGAAAATGCAATATTCTTTTGCAGAAAATATGCGTATTTGACTATTTTCAGCAAAGAATTAAAATATGAGCACAGCCCACGATCCAAAAATTGAAACTTGTTTTTTTTATCTTAAAAACAGACTTTTTTGTTATATAATTGCATATTTTAGATCAGATGTTGTGCTTTATATGAAATTTTGAAAAAAAAAATCAATATAAGGCCATTACTAATCATGGCCTTTTCAGGATTTTGCAGGATATGGGGGAAATGACGCATTTTATGAAGCCATACCATGCATTGACTAAAGGGAAAATTACGTCATGTAAACACTGCTTTTTTGGTCTAAATTGAGCAGTTTTGATTTTTCAGAAATTCTCAGGGCCAAAAAAAAAACAAGTGGCTCTTGCTTTTTGATAAATCTGTAGGCATACTAGATTTTGATCATAAAATTACTTAATTTGCTTTAAGATATAATTGTTTCATATTTAAATAAAACAAATTCAAATCTTACCAATTAGATATTTTGTATGCCAAAGTACACCTACATCCAGAATCGTTCTTTGGTAAACATTCACAATAATTATTGTATATATTTCTATAACAAATTACTGAAATAACTACAACTTCAATTCAAACATTTCAAAATGGCAAATCTGTGTTGTCCACAGTACAATCTGCATTTCATTAGCCAATTTGACTTTTTTGCCTTTCTTGCGAACTTCCTACAAACAATCAATTTGTGAAATGTTTCCCGCTGAGAACAATAGATTGTTGTGTACGCTTCTTGCATTGTTCCTGCAAACATGTTCTGTTCCTGCAAATTTGTTGCACGCTTGCATTTTTTCTGCATTTTTTGCCGCATGATCGAAGCTAGCGGCAATAATCTGCGAACAAGAAAATTTTCTTCCAGCAAACAATTTTGTTTGCTGCAAAAAATTAAAATAGTTTGGTAAGGGTCAAAGCATTTAATGTACCAAAGTGTGATTTATACAGCTCCTGGTAAATTGACTATAAATTAAATGTCATAATTTAACTTGAATTTTTGCATGCAAGAAGGATATAGAGATAACGAACAGTATTCAATCTCAAAGTCCATAAACCAATACAAAATAAGAGAAGAGCAAACACGGACCCCCGAAACATCAGAGGTGGGATCAGGTGCCATGGAGGAGTGAGCATCCCCTGACGACCGGTCACACCCGCTGTGTGCTACTTGTCATGATCAGGAAAAAACAGAAAAAAAATCGTCGTTAATTCAATTCAGTGTATAATTAATGGACTAATAATTGGTATGAAACACGTCAGTCAGCATTTGACTCAATGATAAATTGTATTTGCTGACAAGGTCATTGTATCGACCATAGAACTTACGAAATGATGACTTTAAACGAGACTGTTGATATTCTTGTTTCATCAACTTGCTTGTCAATAATTTACCTCGTTTTACAAATTGTTCGTACGTAGAGCATGCTCTTGCGTATCGAATCAACTGAGATATATTTACTCCGTATGCAGGTGATGAAGGTATCTTGCTGCATAATTAAGGAAAGTTGACGATAGAAAAGTTAAAGCCATCACGTTTATCATATGGCTTGGTTGTTAGATTACCATTAGTGTCTTTTTCAAGTACAGTATCTAAGTATGAAACAGAAGTGTCGGACTCTGTGGTATCTTTTATTTCAAGCTCACCTGGATATATCGAATCGACGTAGGAATGGAAATTACCATTGTTAATTGACAGTACGTCGTCGATATATCTAAATGTCGAGTTGAAGGCCACAGCAAGTGTTTTCCTCTTTTCGCGCATAAGATTTTGCATAAATTCTGCTTCATATTAATTTGTACCCATGGGTATTCTAATAGATTGTTGGAATACTAGTCTCCAAAAACCACATAGATATTGTCAATCGGAAACTCAAGCATCTCCTTGATGTCAACTTCAGAGTACTTCTGTGTGCAATCAGAATCTGTTTTAACAAAATAATTTTGCAAATGACCAATGACGAGGTAAGTAAATTTACGAGTTCCACTTTTATTGAAGAAGCAGCTGTCAATGATATCAAAAAGCCTGGATTTCAATTTGTCGTGGGGAATTGTTGTGTATAAAGTTGAAAAGTCGTAAATTTTTAAGCTGATGATTTTTGTAAAGTCTTGTGATTTCAAATTGTCCAAAAGTTCTTTAGAATTTTTGAGTATCCACATCTGATTCACACCACTTCTTGTATGTATATTTGTTGCACAGTCTCTTGAAGTTTTTCCTTCACTACTGTCAAGAGGCTTGGTTGAACATTTACTGGAACCTGCAATGTATCTTTGTTTGTAAGGTTTCTTATGAAGTTTCGGAATCCAATATACATAAGGTAGTTCAAATTCAATTTGGCTCTGTGGAATACTAGTATTAAAAGTGCGATTCCTTAGAAAGGAAAGTATGAGTATAAGTAATAGTTATAAGCCTCAAACTGTCCATTATGTTATATATTAGACGACCCGAGGCGCGTTAGCGCCGAGGAGAGTCTAATACCTGACATAATGGTCAGTTTGAGGCTTATAACTTACTTAAAACATTTCACCACTGTCGAACACTTCCATTGATAACTTATTGGACAGCCATAGGTAAGGTCTCGTTCTGCTTGGATGACTACCTGTCACTGTTCATCACGTTAGGCCAAAGAAAACCAGTTTTACTTTTTCTTCTGCCTTTATTAATGGTAGAAATCATTGAGAGGTGTTTTATATCGATAAATATGAACATAAACTTTGTTTAGTCTTATTTATCGGCATTGCGACATTTTTATATGTACTACGAATGCTTGTCAATTCTTCTAAATTCTTTACAATTTATTCATTTTACAACGTCCATGGATAACGACGTACATTTTAATTTTGAAAAAAGGCCTTCAGAATCGGTTGTTTTGACGATGCCATTTATCGATTACACCAAGATGCCTCAATTCAAGTTTTTCACTGTGAAATCCTCATATTCTTATGTTTCGGATTTTGCAAGAAACAGTTTCCCGTCAACAGGTAATTTTTGTAAAGCAATAAGATTTGAAGGGTTTTACTCAAACAACTGTTGAAGCATTTTCTATGAAATTGGAAGATTATTTCTGATGTATTTTTTTTTTAAAAATGCAACACCTTCTCTTTTGTGTGCATTTTTCGAACTAGGAAGGATTTTCCTTCAGCCACTAGTCCTTAAAACAACGACAGATACTCATTCAAACGGCACAGGTCTATGGCTAGATGGACAAGTGGTCAAAAATCACCTTTCTTGAGCTAAATTTTGTGCTAAATGTGTAAAAATGGATATTTTAAACAAAAAGCCCAAGGTTGTGTGTAAAAAAACACATGCTTCTCGTTCATCTTTTGTGTCCATTGGATTGTATATATATTCCGTGTATCAATCATTGTGAAATGAATCTATTACAGCAATGAACGGTGAATTTAGGAAAGAACTGCGAACGATATAGCTGCAGATCTGTAGCTATCCGGAAAAAAATATATATATTGATAGACCGGATATCCGGTCTATCAATATATATATTTTCCGGATAGCTACAGATCTGCAGCTACGAACGATAGTATTGTTCTCCCGCCTACCGCCAAGTCAATTTTCAAAAGTTAACATATTCGATGAATTTTTTATATTTTTTATAGATAATTATATGGATTTTCATAAAACATCACTTATTTGGGAAAACAAAGAGAGATAACTCTTAAATTTTGGTAAAACTTGTGTTTTTCACTATAGAAATCAATGGAAAACGGAAAATATTTTTAGAACATCTTCCCCCCCCCCCCCTCCCCCGTGTCACAAAAATTCCTTTTTACAGGTAATATGGAATGGTATTTCACAAATTCATACCAAAGCTTTTTGTGTGACACGGGGGGGGGGGGGGACACATATGTTTATTGACAAAAAAAAACGATAAAAATGCTTATTTTCCACCAATTGCAAAGCGATATACAACTGAAACATTATATTTTATTGAAATATTTATGTTTTATTTATTTGACTAAAACATAAGAAAAGAGATAAGGAACATTTAATCATATCCAAGACTATTTCAAAATACGGTGATGCTTGAAACTCCGATTTCAATGGAAAATACCCCCTTTTTTCAAGAGCTGGAATTATGGATAATTTACTGTTTAGCGCTGGTATTTGGACAATTTATCAATTATTAAACAAAGATTTTATGGCCAAATTGCTATTCATATTGAATTAATTGGTTCCAAAATGTAGGCGGGAATGGAGAGTTAGCGTGCGTGTTTCTTATAAACAATTAAAACTATAACCACTATTCAGAAAGTGAGAATAGTGGTTATAAATTTCTCATTTGAAATAACCAGAATGATTGTATATTTAATATGTACATTATGTAATTCATTGTAGAAAATGGGGTCACAATTCTTTCACCCGATCCTTTCCTTAATTATTACAAGTAACTTTTAATTCAAACAGTTTCACTCTGTGAATTAAAGGAAATATACAGCTGAAAAATGACGGTAACAGACACGAAAAAGAAAGCATTAATCAGAACGAAAGCTTTGTCCAACGCATGGGAAATACTTTTGTAGTTTATGCAAGAAACTTGTCGCTTTTCTTGAAATTCATCCATGTCAAATTCTTCTTTTATGATATCTATCTCAGTTGATCTACAATTACACATTAACGTTTTATGGACAAACCATACCATTATCCTTGAAAAAGGCGATTTCGGTTTTTCGTTATTTTCGGTAAAATGAATATCAACGACCATGATTACACTGAAGGTTATCAGAGCACTGTAGGTCAAAACAATGAGCATGTAGATAGAAAATAGTGACACGGTTATACTGGATTTAGGAGTGTTGCCAGTCACCAAGGTCAGAAAAACAGCAAAAGACAATAAAACTGTGAGAGCAAAAGATATTCGCTCTCCTGATTCTACCGGTAAACTAAACACGCCAAGGTTTACAATCGCCAAAAATACAATTGGCGCAAAGATGTTCATCAGCAAAAACGAATGTCGCCTTTGCAGTCTAACTGCTATTCTGAACACAGATGTTTCGAGATGTTCATCAATTTCCACAGAAGTGTCAACACTTAAAAGTTTCCACAGTGGGTTTTCTTCGTAAACATCTTTATACACACCATTTGCGACGAAATTCACTTCGTATATCGACGACAAGGGAATGATATCGATGTAACAAGTGTGAATATCAAAAGGGAAGTATCTAGAATTTGGAGAACATAGAGTCGAAGATCTGACACCAAGAATATAAAGAGCAGTTCCATTATAGAAATACATAATATTGCTAGACTCAAGAGTGTCCAACGCAAAAGTATCGAAAGCATTGCTGCTGAATAACCGGGGTCGCCATATGGACGATAGGGGAAGGGGGATAAAGGTTAAATTAGAATAGGATACCAGATCCCAGGTTATGATTTCGTCTGTCCACGTAATATCAAGTCCAAAGGAAGCGGCTAAAATCCCATTCATTTCATCAAAAGAGATGATAGACTTAGGAATTACGTGGATAGAAACTTTAACAGGTTTCTGCTGATTCAAAACAGGCCTGATGTCCTTCCGATAATCTTTTAGAAGCTTGTCGTGAAGAGATGTGAGTAGTTTGTAGGAGGAAGTACTACTCCCGTCCCCAAGAACTGACTGTACTGTTAGTAAAACACCGAGATGAACTAGCGCAAAGAAAACGTTCATTTTCGAAAATATTTTCTTATAGAAGAAATTCAAGGTGTATTATCACTTGTTAATCTTTACTGAAAAGGTCTTAATATGTACTGCAGACACAATTGAATAAACGATGTCGGTCGCAGGAAGCTTTGCATGATTTTATCGTAATTAAATTCCCAATCAACACCTTCATGATGTATTTGATTGATTATTGTAATTGAAATTCTGTCGTGACATCATTTTTGTTTGAATATTGCAATTATCATTAACGGAACAACTCGACCTGGGATCTCTTTATATTCCACTTGTAAACACTAATCTTTGGTTTTGTTTGAATTTGTCGATGTTTAGTTAATACATTGCACCTTGCAGTGAGTACATTTTAGATAATGATGAAGATAACCTACTTCTTCAGATGAGGTCTATGTTCTGAACAAATAAAATTATTTGCATCAACACATACAAATATAATGCGTGCGAGAATCAAATTTGAATGTAATGTTCCTGTTATTGATAATTTTCATTTTCCTTATTCATTTATATAACCAGAAAGTGTTAGTAAGTAACGTTTAAAAAATTATTCCAATATATTTCAATGTAAAACCTTGATCCCCTATTTTAGTTTCTCCCTACCACCAGAGACAATAATCTCACCATAATAACTGTGTTTGCAACAACCTCAGTTACCTTTCAAATAGGTTTCAGGATTTCTTGCCCAATGGTTCTAGATAAAAATTTTTTAAAAGATTTTATAATAGATTTCAATTAGTACTAGTTTGATTTCTCTTATTGTCACGTTTCCTATCAACAGGAGACATGGTTAAACAATTTAAAATCATTACCTTATACAGCTTCCACATAAGTACTGTTTTATTTTTTTCAGGCTCAATGGTTCTTGACGGTAGAAGATTTTTCTTTAATATTTCAATGTTAAAATATAATCCCCTACTGCAGGTGACCCCAATCCTATCCACAGGTATGAGGGGACTAGATTTAAACAATATAGAATCAAGACTACCTAAGCAAGCTATCGCTAATTTTCACTATTTCTGGCCAAGTGGTTTTCATCATCAGAATCTAAGCTCACCTGGGCTGAAAACATGCATATGTTGTTTGTCCATTGCTATTTTTTTTTTAAGTTTGAACGTCTTTTTTAGGAATCACTGGATCTGATATTGTGAGAATGAGGAGCTTTGTCCCCTTCTAAGGAGAAATAATCAAGAAAAAACAAAAATAAGGTACATGTATGATAATTGATAAAAATTGATAATCTTCTCAGGAACTACTGAATCAGAAATGGTAACTTATGTGGGAGCTTCCTGGGGTAAGCATGGCAAGGTAGAGTCTAAATTGTTCAAATAATTGCTACCGGGGATAAGTTTACGCCACGATAGGGAATTGAAGTTTTACATTGAAATATACAGGAAATATCTTTAAAAATCTTCAGGAGAAACAATGGACTAGAAATGGGAAACATATGGAAACTTTCTGAGAAACCCACACAAAATAAATTCAGTTCAAATCATGGCCACCAAGGGTACGGTTGGGGACAAAAAAGGAACCAAAGTTACATGTAAAGGAGAAATCTTTTTTCTTTAATTCTCGAGATTCACAAGCCCATACATGTGAAACATGTGGAAGACTTTTGAGGAAGTGTCAATTTTAAATAGTTCAAATTATGCCCAGCAGGAATAGTGTGGGACCACAATATGGAATTTAAGTTTAACATTGAAAGATACGAGAAAAATCTGTACATAACCCTCTATTCCAAGACCAAGTTACAAAATAAGTCCAAAAAGGGGTTCCAACGGAAGAAACCATGAATATCCTAGCTAGAAACATTGAAAGATACAAGAAAAATCTGTACATAACCCTCTATTCCAAGACCAAGTTACAAAATAAGTCCAATAAGGGGTTCCAACGGAAGAAACCATGAATATCTTAGCTAGAAAAAATAAAACTTGTGCAAAAAATTCAAAAGGTATTTTACATGCGCGGATCTAGAAAGTGGGTTTGTGGAGATCTGGACTACAAAAGCGACCACCTCCTCCCCCGGATCTGCAGAGTTATTAAATGTACTAGTATATACTAAACCAACAAAGTTATCTTGGGCCGCCATCAGAACGTGGAGCCATGTTAAATTGGAAAGACAAGTCAAAGATACCGGTATGAAGCAAATGACTACCTGATTTTCTCCTTTCAAAATAGGGATTGCTTCATTTTAACATCTAAGCATTCCATCTGAACTAATAGATAGATGTATGGGCGATCAAAAAAGCTCTTTTGATCCTTCAGCTAAGGGGAGCTTAAAGCATTTATATTTCAAAAGGCATATGCAATTTATCATAAGAGATTTTACAAAATCATTCTGCAATGCCATCATAATCAGAACTATAATCTGATTTACAATTTAATTTTGAGTAAACATGGTATTTAAGAAATACAAAATCATTGTAACAGACAATTAAGGTACATGCTGGAGACAGTTATTGTAATACCTTTGACGCCTGACTTAAAAATACCCAGAGTGGTTTCAAACAGTCTCTGTTATATTAATATTTAAGTCCCTAAAACACCAGAGCATCAAAATACATCATTATTTAAAATTGCAATTTAAAAGAGAATCGGTTTATAAACTCCTTTCAGATATACATATTTCATTTTCCCTTCTTATCATCTACAGACTTTGTGACCAATTAACATCACTTCATTAAAGTAACTGATTGACCATTCAGTTACTGGTTGACATCCCTGTTTTATTTTACCCAAGGGTTCATCTTATTACAGATAAGGCTCAATCTCAATCCATCAGGACTATTGACTCTGATAACTGGTCATCAATGTATCAGCTTCACCAAGATAATCATTAGTCAACTGTGTATTTTTACAAAATGAATACATCATAACTTGGAAAATGTTTAATACGCAACTGTAAATGATGTTGTAAACAATTTGTATCACAGATTGCCAATAGGATAACATTAGGTATCAACAAGTACAATGTTTTCAAGTTTTCATATCCACAAATGAAAAATCTAAAACGTAACTTTGCCCCGTGTCAGGGTTTCAAAAGTCATAGCAGCAACAAATGTTCATCACTGGGACCCCCTCAGCTCTGTGCGCTTCTAGGATCAATGGATGTAGAGGCATGCATGAGAATGAGATTCTTCACACTGACACATGTACAACAACCCCCATTTTTATCAATCTGTAGTTGTTCACTGATATTAATACTGAATCAGGTAATCCTGATTACGATTATCCAATCAAATTATATCTTCAGAAAACTGTTTATTTTTTCTTTGCAGTTGCATCTTGAGCTGCCTTCTTGGCTTTCACCATTTCCACCAGTTCCTATTCAAGATAACAATACGCAATTCTTTACAAAACATACCTGTAAAAAGAGCCTGACTCTACCCTTTATTCTATTCGCATTTCAATGTATTATTGGGAAAAAGTTTTCTAGAAAAGGGAAATTTCACTTCTCCTTCTTTACACAAAGTTATAATATCGCACATTTTCCTTTCATGTTAAAATAAATTTGATTTCATCCAAACCAGACTGTGAAACAAACTTTTATTTGTGACAACTTTATTTTGCGATTTACCTGAGGAAAATTAATTCGCAACCATTACTTTTAGCGATCAAGATTTTTTTGGATATATTGTTTTAAAATTGACATAGAGAGTTAAAGGACCACTTTGCAGCGAAAAATATTCGTGATGACAAGGCTCTCATGAACTTAGTGAAAAAATCTCGCACACAAATAAAAGTTGGTTTTCAGTATACTGAGAGTGAGTTCAAGACATGATACCCTTTTTATATTATTGAATTATACAGTATCTATTTATTTTGTAACGTTTCATACAGTCCTTTTTGCTGCGACTTGAGATACACTCCCGTTATATTTTTTAATTATACAGTATCTATTATGCCCTCTATTTACCCTGTAACATTTCTTACAGTCCTTTTTACTATGGCTTGAGATACATGCCCCTGTTAAATGTATCACTTAATTATACAGTTATCTATTGCGCCCTCTATTTACCTTGTAGCGTTTCATACAGTCCTTTTTGCTGCGGCTGGAGATACACTCGCTGATCCTGTCCCACCTGTCGGGGGTACTGGCGGGGTACGTCTTCAGGGCCTGCTCCAGGTGCTTCTGTTCCTCGGGGGACCAGGGGGCGGGGTTCGTTCCGGCCTCTCTCACCTGCTGCTCACCTATACCTGTATTAAGTTTTGTATATAAAACTTCTATATTTTGAAAGTTCTATTAAGTTTTTAATATAAAATCTGAATTTAAAAAGTTTTCATAAAAAAAAAAAAAAAAAATCAATCGAAAAGAGTAAAAAATTGAGAACACTTACTCTCAAATCTTTCACTAACCACACCCTCCTTGGGTTTGGCTTGTACATTTGCAGTCTTCACATTTTTCTCAAAATTCTCAAAGGCTTTCTTATCAGCATTTTGTTTAAGGAAAGTATCTTAAATCACATAAATTAAAACTGTACTGGTAGTATAAAGCCAATTTTCCTGTACAGACACAGTATTATAAAGAAGCAAATTTAATCATTTTTATTTATAAAACTATGTATTGTAATAGGTATGGTTTCAGTGAATATTTAATATTCCAACACTGATTTGTTCTGTTACCATTTTTCTGCAGTTCCTTGGCTTTGTGAAGAACGTCTTTTGCATTTTTGTTACTGTCTGGGACATGCTGTTTAATGAACTTGGAAATCACTTCCCATCTGTAAAAAAAAACAGAAGTCTCTGTCGAGACTGTAGCTCTACTGGTTTATACTTAAAACAAAGGAAGAGAAAAGTAGCAGTTGGGACTTGAAACTTTAAAACAGCAATAAATAGAAAAATGATCCTTGTCGCTCATCAAAATAAAAACCGATGCACAGAATTATGTATCTTAGTGTAGTCTACTTGTGTGCCAAGTTTTACTGAAATTGGACCAATACTGTAGGAGGAGTAGCATTTAGAAAGAACTTCATAAAAATTTCTATTTTTAGTAACCATGGCAACACCATTCATCGAAATCGAAAACTGATGCACAGAATTATGTATCTTAGTGTAGTCTACTTGTGTGCCAAGTTATATTGAAATTGGACCAAAATTTTAGGAGGAGTAGCATTTTGAAAGAATTTCACAGAAATTTCTATTTTTAGTAACCAGGGCAACACCATTCAACAAAATCAAAAACTGATGTACAGAAATATGTATCTTAGTGTAGTCTACTTGTGTGCAAAGTTATACTGAAATCAGACCAAAACTGTAGAAGGAGTAGCATTTTGAAAGAATTTCACAGAAATTTCTATTTTTAGTAACATGACAACACCGTTCATCGAAATCAAAAACCAATGCACAGAATTATGTATCTTAGTGTAGTCTACTTGAGTGATAAGTTATATTGAAATTGGACCAAAACTGTAGGAGGAGTAGCATTTTGAAAGACTTTCACAGAAATTTCTATTTTTAGTAACCATGGCAACACCGTTCATCGAAATCAAAAACCGATGCACAGAATTATGTATCTTAGAGTAGTCTACTTGTGTGATAAGTTATATTGAAATCGGACCAAATCTGTAGGAGAAGTAGCATTTTGAAAGAACTTCATAGAAATTTCTATTTTTAGTAACCATGGCAACACCGTTTATCAAAATCTAAAACCGATGCACAGAATTATGTACCTTAGTGTAGTCTACTTTTGTGCCAAGTTATATTGAAATCAGACCAAAACTGTAGGAGGAGTAGCATTTTGAAAGATTGTTTACAGACAGACAGACAGACAGACAGCTAGACAGACAGACATACAGACGGACGGACGACGGACGCATTACTATTGCATAAGCTCCTCTGGTCTCTGACCAGTAGAGCTAAAAAAACAATAAGATACAGAGTGAGCTTTTAAATATGATACTTAAAAAAATCATTTTGATTTGTAGATGAAGGTGTTGGGGTGTAAATGTTAGTAGGCAAGAAAAAATTTTTGGTTTATATTCAGGGATGTAATTTGTGTATAGTTTGTACATACACAAAAGATTTGATGAATCCATCCTTTTGACTAACTTTTCTTGTGGGGATGTTAATTTGTGTGTAAGAGACCCATGGGGTAAGAAAATAAAAATATGAAATTTTTTATAAAATTCTATAAAATTTTTTGAAATTAAAATTTGAAATTTTAGCTAGGTAAGATTTTTTGCCTAAAAAATGCACATTTTAACTAAATTTGTGATGTAATATACAAGGTTTTAAAAATTTACGAATATAAAAGAAAAAGAATTTATGTGGAAAGATTGTCTACTTTGTTTCAACAATTAAAGTACACTGAGTAGGTTTATACATGTAGTAATAAAGATGCCAAAGAAACCATGTGAAAAATAGACACAAGACTGCTTTTGTTAATTTTGAGCTGATTATGACTATCATTTCCTTAGCAGGCTAGATGAGACTATTATCACTGATTATTGCTATAAAGAGGTAGATTCACATACTCCATGAAATGGCCCCGTCAATATACTAATTAACCGACCAAGTTCTTATGTCCTATTTCGATGATCAACATAAAGTAGAGACTTAGTGCTTTCATATCCTATAAAAAATTTTCCTCTGAGAGTCCAAGTTTGGAAACTCAAGCATTGTGAAACTGCAATGTTCTTGATTTTTGAAGAAAATGGGTGAAATTGAGCATCTTTAACTTTTAATAAAAATATGAGCCCACCCTGTGATCCAAAAATTCTTTCATGGATTAGAATCTTCTAAAACAGTTCTTTCATTTTATAACTCAATATTTTAGATCAGAGGTTGGGGGCTATGCAAAATATTAAAAAACAGCTTAAATTTTTGGTCATTTTTAACGAAATTTTCAAGATTTGAGGAAAATGACAAAATTCATGACGTCATAAGACATAGACAAGAGAAAAAAATTACGTCATTTTTATTTGATAAGAAGTCACCAAGGGTCTAAGTGAAATATAACATATTTTCAACTAAAACTGAGTAGTTCTTATTTTTCAGAAATTCACAGGGCCAAAAATGGACCAATGTGAACTTTATTTTTTGTACCTCTCCTTTGTCCCCGCGGGAAACAGATTGACTCCTTTAATCATGCACTGGATCTCTGATTCCAGCCACGTCTTTTTAGACCCCTGTGAGTTATCTCCCCCTGACTGTTTCTGTGCGGCCTCCAGGTGCTTCTGTTTTTCTTCCTCTATCTGTTTATTTAACTCTTCAACCTACACACATACATAAAAACATTGGCACAACAGTTTCACTGTTGGACTTAAATATGTATCAGACAGCTTTTATTTTTCAAAACTTCAAAAAAGTTTGCAATTTTCTACAAACTGCTCTTTTAATAGACACCATCTTCCGTGGGTCACAGAATATTGTGTAATCACTAATTTTCAAAGGGGTCTAATTTTCATAGTTTTCAAGGTCATATGAACAGACCTTTATGTCCACCACAAAATGCATTTTTTCATTTATATTTCTACTGAACAATTCTTCAACCACGAAATCAAATCCCAAAGAACGGATTTATTTTCCTCAAACCACGAAAATTTGACCCTTGAAAATATGTGATTTTACAGTAATCAAATTTAAAACAAAGTTTTTAACTGTGACTATGAGGAATCAGAAAAAAAGGACTCAATTTTGAATTTCATTTTTTTTAATGACTGCTATGGTCAAAGTAAACACAGTTTAATTTTACTGACTGCTGTGGTAAATGCCTCCTTTGCTTTTTGTCCCCCATCTGCAGCCATGGCTTCATTTAACGACTGCAACCTGAAAGACGACAGATACCAATGACAATCTACTGTAAACCTGGTTAATGGTCTCCTTAATCTGGCATAACAACATGAAACATACATACTGCAAAAGGGCCAGCAGGGTCCATCACAACAAACACCATGTAAACCTAACTTGTTATATTCATTGTGTTCATAACACATTTAAAAACTTTGAGGATTGAAAATCATTTTACTATAATCATGAATTCATTATAGGCAGATTCACTATGACAGTGTTATGTGTATAATATTACTTTAAGAGAGACAGTTGGTCGGCCAGCCTTTCTACATCTGCCATGTTGGTCACCCTCTCATCTTCTTTGTCAGTGAAATAATTCATATCCTGTCAAACAAAAAATCAGCAGAATTTTCACCAAGATACTTGCATTTTATTTTAGTATATTCAAAATTACAGCATTTGAATATTACCTGGAATTCACTCCTAATATTAATTAATAATTAAAGACTGAAGAAAAACTACCTACTATATAAGTACATGTATATGGAGATTTACTTATAGACACAAACCTTTGCTGCTGTTCTCAGTGTTTTGCGCTCCTTTTTAATTAACTTTTTCTGTGCTTCTTTTTCTTTTTTGGCAATTGCAGCCTATTGAAAGAAAATGAAACTAATACTACACGAGGATCAAGATACAATTAAAATACTTTTTTGACATGTTTTATTATATATTTACATTATGCTTTTATGGCAATTTTTATGTGGCCTGTAAATAGGTGGCCATTTCCATCAACTATAGCTAGAACTACCATCAGTGCCAAGTCCGTCAACTAGCTCTGAATATTAATTTTTTTCCGAGTACAAAAAATTTACATAAAGTAATTTATAACCTAAAGTTTAAACATCCATTAAACACATGTTTAGTGTGGCTGAGGGTGGTAGTTTTTTAGACACTCACCTGAGCTTTTGCTTCTTCTTCCTCTTTTTCTTTTTTCTTTCTTTCCTCTTCTAAAGCTTCTTGTTTTATCTGATAAGATTTCAGAGTGTTGCAGTGAAAATAATTGAGTTTAATTTAAATAAAACACTTACTGAAAGTAAATTCTTGCCCTCTTCAAAACTGCACACACAAGACTTTATAAGCCTCTCCCTCCTAGTAATTCAGTCTCTAATGCAACCTTCCTGTTACTGCCTCACTAACCCCCCCCCCCTCCCCACTCCCACCCCTTGCAGGTTCTTGCCCTATTCATAACTACACACACTGATATTGTAATCCTCCCTCTCCAAGTCTATCAATGTTCAATGCACCCTTCCTATTACTGCCTCACTACCCCCCCCCCCTTCTGCTAGCCTCTCACCCTCTCCTCCTCCAGGGCCTTCTGTCTGGCCGCTTCCTTTTTGGCACGTTTCTGAGCTTCCTTTTTCTCCTTCTCCTCTTCCCGATATCGTATCACACGGGGATCACAGGCATATGCATTATCTGTTAACACATGTAAATCATACCAGGTTTATTAAAATTTCCTGAATAAAATCTTTAAAACAATGTGATTTCTTTGCCTTTTGGGTTGAATAATAAACACTGGTTTTAATCACAGTAATTTCAGGTTATTAACAGGCATTTAAAAAAAACTTCACACAGGTTTGAAATCTTAAACAAAAAAAGAAATTTCTAAAGTCTGCTTTACACGTAACATCTCTTATGTACTAACTCACTAACTCTCTTACATGTACATACAGTGTACAGTACATACTACTGATCCATTGTTTGATACAATTGACCCAATAAAGGTAAGATAGGACTGAACCACTAACTATACTGACCTACTAACTGTCTGATCCGAGCCATTTCCTCCTTTTTTAGCCTCTGTCTTGCTGCTTTGTTTTGTTTTTCTATCCACCTTCTCTCTTCACGACTAAAAACAATAAAGTGTTACCCATGGTGTATTAGTTTATATGCTGTAAATTCATTTCATTTGATGATTTTTTCTTAAAATAAGACACATTTTTAATTAATAGAATTAATATAACTAGACTTACTTCTCTCCCTTTTCCTTCTCCTCTTCATCTAAATAAGAATACTCTCTCCAGGAATCGAAGTCATACCTGTTACCGAGCAGAAATAAAACATTATATCAAAACATTTGAAAGGTTACGTAGAATGAAGAAACAATCACACTGAATTTCTCCATATGTTTGAACAAACCTGCACGATGACATTTTGCCTGTTCCTTTTTATAGGAATATATTTATATTACATATGTGTCTTGAATATAAAGTGTATGGAAATTTATGGCAATCAAAACACCATAACATGGATATGGGGTCAAATAGGTTAAAGATGAATTATTTGCACACACTGTTGCAGTTATGAGACTATATCTTTCAAAAAATAATATTGCTTAAATATCACAAAATCACAATAGAAATCTAAATTAACTGTAAACAGTGTTCCTAATTGGCATCTTCTATAGATGTGGAACAAGATACTGTAAATAGTGCCCCTTACCAAAATGAGTAGAATTTATTGACATCTTCAATAGAAGTGGAGTCTGTTCCTAGACCTGGAACTATCCTTCTGTTGCTCCATCTGAAATTTAAAAAAAAGGTACAAATAAATGAATTGTGGCCTCATAATTAGTCAATAACTGTTCAAGATATGGCTTTATATTTTGCATATAAGTGAGAGCACATTAAAAACATACCTTGAATTTCTTTCAAAAACTGGACCAAAAACTTTAAAGAAATTTTTCTTTGATTCGTCATCAGCGGGCGGCACGTCGTCATCAAACTGGGGATCAACACTGTCATAAGATCGACGCTTTGTTTTGTTTCCCAAAATTTCATAAGCTTTAAAAATATAGACAACAGCTGGAGTCATTATTTTAATCAAAGAATATCCTGCAAACTCTAATGTTTTAAGTACATGAAATTGAGAAGCCAGATAAACATGAAAATCTTAATTAATTCCAAAGTTTTTTTTAAGTACTACATGTAATAAATGAAAATTTCTCTCTCTCTCTTTTTTTTCTTTGAAAAATAAGAAACATTTGAATAACTTGTGAACATATTAAACTGCAATATTTAGAATCCATAAAACAGAAAAAAAAAATCACAAATACAAAGGATTTTTATTATTAATTAATTCAAAGAAGCAACTTTTTCTTTCCATATGATTTCAATACCTCGTGTAATACATGTGAAATAATCATCCTCTCCGTCTCCGACCTTTAACCCCCTGGCTTTCCTTTTGTCTGGATGGTGTTTTAATACCATACTCTTATCTGTAAAGCACAGCAAGAAAATTTATGTAAGTATTCCTATTCTTTCCTAAACCTTAAATATACATGTAATTTCTGCTACCACAGTTGGTGAATGATTGAGATATTCCAAATAAAAGTGAAAAATTCGGGTAAATAAGGATATACATTCTGATCATGGACTAAAAAGTAGAGTTGGGTATTGCGAAGGAAATCCATATTGCGATATATTGCAATATTTTACTTTGATTATTGCAATATATTGCAATACATTGTAGATTAATTATCAATAATAAATTTGAGTAGAATGTTTGAAATGCTGTCAAGTTCAAAGACTATTTGATTTTATCTTTAAGTTTAAAAGGGGGAGGAGGGATAAGACATTGATTGCACACCAAATTTACACTTTACTTTTAATCAAATTCCAGGTAAAATAGTAAAACAAGATGAACTCGCTTGGAGAATTTTCACATTGGAATAAAATTTTTTACAGATTATATAATCTTTTTTCATTGAATTCTTTTTTTTTTTTTGGGGGGGGGGGTTGTTAATGAAGTAGCATAAAATGTTATTAAAGATTAAAACAATATACATATTAGGCCTATATGAAAATAATTTTATTGTGGTTACAAAATAAAATTTAAAAAACCAGAAAGAAATTGTGACCTGTTTTCGTGCGTTTTGGTAATTTAGTCTGACCCGACCTAATTTCACATCAAGACCGTAGACGTACAATCAGAAAATGGCCTGTTTTAATATGTACATGCTCCTGCTATAGCATAAGGTGTTTAAAATGGCATGAAAGTTATTAAAAATAATTAAAACAACACTGCTACAAGTGAAAACATGGATGACCATTTACTTGTAATATGTACATGTATACTGAACTTGACATTTCACCGCGATGTCGATCGTGTAGATTCAATGCGAGATTTTGAGAACCGCAATGCATATGGTATACACCCTGTAAAAATGTTTTATATATTTTCTTTTTTATAAATTTTATTTTAAAGTCTTATTAATTGGTAATTTTATTTCAAAGTAAGATATTCAAAACTGCAACCGTGAATTAAAAGCTTCCACCCCCCTCTCTCTCTCCTCTCTCTTTCTCTCTCCCGAACGAAACTGACGAAGAATTCTTTCAACGAGAAAGAAAAAGACTTAGAAGTTTCCAGTTTTATTTTAACAGTTTCAACAATAAAGGAGGTTTTTATATATTTTTATGAATATCGTGAAATACCGGTATCTAATTTTCATATCGCGATATATTATCGTAGTGGATAATACCGCAATATACCGATATACCGGTAATATTGCACACCCCTACTAAAAAGCATTCTGACAGGAACACATTTTACTTACAAGCTTTTTTGATCTGGTTTTCTGTGGCCTTATGTCTAATTTTGCTTAACCCTAGGACAGCATAATGGTCTTGTTGCTATAAAAAAGAAATACAGTGAATCTTCATATTACTTATTGCAATATTTTAAGAAATTTTTTCTTTTGTCTTATATTAACATTTCTTTAAAGCTAAAGTAACATGGCAAGACTGGAGTTGATTCTAAGAAATTTTTATAATCCATATATGGAAATGAGTGGTCAATTTACTCTTGAAAATTCCAGCCACATATGGCGCAAATAATCAGCTATTCCTGAAGCACAGTGTCTTGTCATGATTTGCCTTGTTTTTTTTTTTTTACCACCCCTACGCTATAATATATTTTACAAGACAAATAAGTTATGACAAGTCCCTGTGACTGAACTGATCTAACTTTATCCCCACCTTCCACTCCTTGGGGTCGAGTCCCTGTAATAAAGCTGAGTTATCCTCCTCTTCTATCTCCTCATGGTCACTCTCTTCGCTGCTGGAGCTCTGCAGTGAGTGGTACGACAGCGAATGCTTGTGACGTCTACGTAAACATAACGCCTCAAACCACCGTCCAGCTGGCTCGAACGAGACTTTTACTGGTGCTGTTAAAATAACAGTTTTCATAAAGGTATCTATTTATAATAATAAGTCATTTTTCATGGTCTACAAAATCTTTAGGACAGTCTAACTCTAACAGGTCCAGTCCAAAGACTATTTCTACATACGTAGCTATTAATAGCTACCTAGGTATCTAAACTACCCAAAGTAGCTACTTTTACCTACTTTTTATATTTTCTGCATTTTGCGGCCAAAAGACCAAACAGCGCAATATGGTGAATACCATATTTTTTGATACAGTTACACTAAATGATGAATACTACAAAATTTTGGCCAAAAAATGATTACTTCCTGAATCGGCAATTTTACATTAGTTTCAATGCATAATTGATAATATACGAAATAATCATTTTTTGGCCAAATTTTTGTCATATATATCCATCATCAGTATGACTGTATCAAGAAAGTTTGTGCTGAACATGTTGCGCCGTTCCTGCACTTGGCCACACAAAATGCACGTAAAGCAGAAAGTAGGTAGAAATAGCTACTTTGGGTAGCTTTAGATACCTAGGTAGCTATTAACAGCTACGTAGGTAGAAATAGTCTATGGACTGGACCTGTCTAAACTTCAATGGTTTACACAGGTCTGTGACAATGATTGCATTAGATAAAGATTTTGATCTTGTTCATTGACAGCAAAAAGAAAAATGTTGAATGTGTGTTATTTAATTTTGTTCTTAAAATTATTACTAGAATTAATGACACAGAGTAAGCTTTCTGACTCCATTAGTAATGGCATTACTCGAAGACTTTAAAACACGGTTCGAAATTCCTCGAATTTCAATCACCATCTTAAAATGTTTCAATGGGATTCAAACATATAAAAATTACCTGAAAAAGGTGCTAAAACTGATGTTACAGCATCATCCGATGCAGGTAATAGAAACATGGTCCTCCTTAATATTGAAAAAACACGTGCCGACAAAAATATGCAGTGTAAAACATGTGAGCCAAAACAATTTTACCGGAAGATGTTTCTCCTCGGGATCGGGATTTGAATTTGCAAATTAGCTTCAAGGCGCGGATCTAAAAGTATGGGATATGTCAGATCCTGTCCATTTTTCGATGATATTGACAAATAAATATGCATAAGTTTTTGCTTCTAAAATAATTTTTTTTAATAGGAAAGAATACTTCTCTCATACTTACGTTCTTGAACACACATACTCAGAAAATCAAGCATTTAGAGGGTGGATCTGTGAGCCTCAGACGGAATGGCAAGGAATTTTTTATGCAGCTAACTAACAAGTCCGATACTTTCGAAATTTCCATTTAAATAATCCGAACCTAAATTTAAAAAGGGACGATTCAAGTCAAGTAGAAATTCCGTCAAAACAAAATGGGGGAGTGGGGTTAATTGATTATGTGTTGTTTCACTTTTTCACTCATATGGAGACGCCACCACAAAGGGGGGTGATTTTGATACAGTAAACTGTAAACATAGATTCACGTTTGTAAACTATAGTTTACAATCGTAAACTATAGTTAAGAGTTGTTAATCATAGTTTCACAAATCGTGAAACTATATTTATCAGATCGTTAACTATAGTTAACGGTTTGTAAACTATAGTTTACAAATCGTGAAACTGTATTTATCAGATAATCTATGTTTTGCAATCGCAAATGATTGTTTTCAGTGTTAAGTATAGTTTACGGTTGTGAAACATAGATTATCGCGTTAACTATGGTTTACGGATGTAAAATATAGATGAACGTTGTTAACTATAGTTTACAGTCCGTAAACTATAGTTTTACTTTACAACCGATAAACTATAGCTAGTTTATCGACTGTGAAACTATGTTTAGCTCATTTTTGTGAATTTGGCGTGCCATATAAATAACCTTTTGCTTAGAGTTTTCGTACGTGTTCGATTTTCTTTTAGTTTGACTTTTCACACGGACCTTGACTTACATGGATTCCTTCCTTTTTTTCACGCACTTGAGATTTACCCTTTGTATAATCTAAAGATCCTTTCAAAATTTGGATTTGCATTTCTGTTTGATATAGACGTCAAATTTCCAGATTTTTTCATCGAGTTTCAATTAAGATTATATATATGCTGACTGAACACCTTTGTTTGACTTGATATGATATTTCTAATGGACATCTAGTATACAATTCTCTAAGTTCATGTATGCAATGTTATCTTACAGGAAAGGAAAAAAGGCAAGACTTGACGGAGAATCGAACCCTCAACCCTGCATGACTGGACATATCTATCATTGTTAAGTGATAAATCGTCGTCAATATACATGAATGTCGAGCTGAAGGCTAAAGCAAGTGTTTTCTTCTTATCATGTAGAAGTTAGTGTATAAATTCTGCTTCATATACATATGTAGGAATGAACAGGTATGCTTAAAAGGAGCACAATTCAGGCACGTAGCATCGTTTTTGAAAGTGGGGTGGGGGGGCAGCCAGATCCGAACACATTTTATGTTACTTACCCGTAACAGTTGACAAGCCAAAAAAATAATAAAACGGTAATTGGCCATACTCGAAAATCCTATTTCGGGGTGGGTGGGGAGGGGGGGGGGGGGGTACTCCAGCATGCTAGAGATTCACGGCGAGATACTTTTGACTTGGCGCTCCGAGGTTAACCGAGGCTCTTACTTGTAGGAGTGGGGGGTAGTGCCAACTTCTTTTCACTTCCAATTTTTTTTGCATACAATACTAAATTTCCTTCATCATGTTCATATCACTAGAATATCGTAAGAAGTGGGGGGCCAACCAACTTTTCAATGAACAGTTTCAATGGTTAAGGTAAATATGGGGGGGGGGGGCAGGAGAAGAGAGAGCGAAGTTTGTTAATTCAGCACCGTCTTCGTAAAATTTGGGGGAAAAGTAGGGGGGCTGGCCCCCCTGTTGCTACGTGCCTGCAATTAGTGCCCAAAGAGATCCCATCAGTTCGCTGGAAGACATGATCTCCAAACACTACATAAAGATTGTCACTGAGGAACTCTAGATCCTTTTAATATCAAATCCATAGTACTTGAATGTAGAGTCAGAATGGTTTTATAAAAAATACAAAAAATTAATAATGACGATAACAAGATGTGAAAATTTCTGAGTTCCGTTAGGATCATTAAAACAGTCGTCGATGATTCCAAAAAACCTAGATTTTAATTTATCTTGAGGAATGGTGTATGTGTATAAACTGTACTGATGTTATGTATTTGCTTGACTTCTATGAAATAATTTCTAAAATTTAATTTCCCGAGAATGACAAAAAGGGACAAAATTCTATAAAGATTGGTACTTAACGTAAATAATTTTGTTGACAAAAACAAGTGATAACTTTTGTATCATATCAACTGATTTCTTTGATAATCATTTTACACACAAATAAAAAGATAACTGACCATGAACGCTGAATATTATATAACTGTTCAGTGCGATTTGATAATTTTAGCGATTAAACAAGGAAGAACGATGGTTTCATAATTAGATGCTAGCTAAAGTACTTTGTAAATCGAAAAAATGTTAAGAAACCGAACAGCGATGAAACTCATTAAGACTACTTTGATTCTTAATACGATCACCATTTTTGTAATTATGTTCCCCAAACGAAGTTTGGGAACATATTGTTTTTACTTTTTTTCTGAATTTTCTTCTCCGGTACTTTTTTTGTCCGCGAGTGTTCTCGTAAACTACTCATCCGATCTAGGTGAAACCTTTTTAGGGTCACTAGGTATGTTATGTAGATGTGCGGAACGAAGGTCATTTTGCGCGCACGTGCGTGCATGTGCGCACACGTGTAACGCGTGAAATAACCAATATGATAGATATAGCCGTAACCTTTTAAATTTTTTATGAAATGCCTTGAAACTCATAATATAAGGATATAATAGTAGTATAGACATGACGACATGGTCAAAATAGCAAGATCTCACGCGCATGCACGTGCGCTTCGTTCCGATTGGTTGAAACAAAAGTCTTTATATCTTTTTTTTTGTTTTCTGACAAAATCCTTTGAAATTTTGAACATCGTCATACATTATGAAGATCTACAGCATGGTATATAAGAATAATCATGAACGCACGCACATGCACGTTAGCTGCAATTGATTGGCTAAAAATTTAA